GAAATGTACATGTGATCACAGCTGCAATCCTCAGTAAACACATGAACATCAAGGCAAAAACTGATCCGGACATGCATCACGCTTCCTTTCTTAGGTCCCTTGATGAAATTCTGTGATCGAAAAAGCAATAAACGAAAATGCATTGTCGGTCAAAGTGCACTGAATCATTTGCAGATACTTTATCGTCAATAACATTCACACGAATCTCTATACTTGAAGGGCTATTTGAACAACACTATGATTATACAACTTTTTATGATTTTGAGACAATAATCACCATTAACTGTTTCTGACATCACAAAACAAACAGCATAGAATCTTATTATACTAGAGTCTGCATCAACGATGTCACATCCAGATTTGCACTTTACATGTAGTATCCAAAGGATCACAAAACTATTAGTCCGTAAGTTATTTTGCGATGAGTTCACCTCAAGAATGGAAACTACCTTCAACTGCAAGTTTGACTTTAGGTTTAGTCAAATTAAGAGATTGACTGACAAGAATAAGAATAATGATCATTATGATTAGAATAAACGAAGAATCAGGAATGAAGAGCAAGGATGTTGTCTAACTTCATTTTGAAGACCTTTATATTGCCTCGTGATTAAATATTCCCATACAAGAAAATTTATAGCTGTAGGTATACTCAATCGTCGCATGAGCATCATATCATACTGCCACAGCAAGAGACATTGCCACAAGCGCCTAATCCGTGGCATTCCATTGGTAAATGCTATACTACGGAAAGGTCACACCATGCAGCCCATTTGTTATATGCACAAGTAAATGATCATCGTTCAATATGCAGCAGAGGTGCTTCAAAATACTATACATGATGTACATTATGTTCTATTCATCATCTTTTCATGGATTGCACTACAGCCCGTGAGATATGGACAAAGTGTGCTTTACTGTATTCTGGACAGAATAACATGAGTCAAGTTTGTGACATGTGGGAGGCTTTATTTGAAGCCAAAATTGGTGATGCTAGTTTGGCAAAACATTATTGCTCGTTTTGCATCTTTGTATTAGTGCCTCAAGTCTTATTTTCCACTTGCTACCATAGTTACTCAGATGCAACAACGAGAAGCGGACATGATAACCATGCTCTTTCTTCGTAGCCTTGGTCCAGATCATAGTGCTCTTCGTCAACAGATTACCTCTCAGAGCACTCTTCCTTTCATTGAAGAAGTGTATTCTCGAGCTGCTCATTACACTTCTGGTCCCAAGACTTCAGCAATTTCAAATAGTAGTGCTATGGTGGCTCGTGGAGGTCAAGGGACTCGTGGTCGTATTAACGGCAGTGGACAATGGAATTCTGATAGTTCTTACCGTGGTCGTGGTCGTGGTTTTCAAGGCCGAGGTACCGCTCGTGGTGGTGGTAGTAATACTTCTAGAGGAGCACGTGGTGGTGGTCGAGCGAACCGTTTTTGTACTCATTGCCAGCTTTCTGGGCACACTGTTGATTATTGTTATGACCTCCATCCTAAACTGCGGGGTCTACATGCTTCTATTGATAATGAGCCTTGGAATCCTTCCCTTGGATCTTCTTCTCGGGACAGGTACAGTGCATGCGGTTGACTCGTGCAGAATATGATGAGTTGGTCGAGCACGACAAAGTGAGAATGGTGCTATCTCTGGTCCTACTGCTACTTTAGCATAGCGTAATGATCCTACATGTCTATTGTCCAGTACAGCTCCTCGTTCTTGGGTTATTGATTCGGGTGCCACTCATCATATGACTGGTGATCCTCGTCTTCTCACATCCACCTCATTTGTTCCTTCTATGTCAGTCACCTTAGCAGATGGTTCTCAATCCAAAGTTACTGGTACAGGTTGTGTATCATTGAGTTCCTGTCTCCTTACCTTTTGTTTACCATATTTCACACTTTCCTTACAATCTATTATCAGTCAGTTCTATTACTCGTGATCTTGATTGCGATATTATCTTTTCTTCGTCTTCGTGTGTTCTTCAGGATCGGAAGACTAGACGCCGAATAAGTGGTGGGCGTGAAGCTGGTGGATTTTACATCCTGGAACCTGAGATTATTGCTGCTGCTACAACAATTCAGAATAAAGCTGTGGATGATCCTTATCGATTACATTGTTGTCTTGGTCATCCATCAGCAAACGTATTCCGACGATTTCCTTTCGTGTCTAGTTCAAGTCTTCAGTTTAATTGTGAAACGTGTCAGTTAGGTAAACACCATCGTGAGTCTTTCTCTCCTCGTGTTTTGAGTCGTGCGTCACATCCATTCGAGTTAATTCACTCCGATGTGTGGGGTCCTAGTCGAGAGTCTTCATTTGGTTTTCGTTATTTTGTCACTTTTATTGATGATTGTACTCGTACAACTTGGTTATATTTAATAAAAGATCGTACTGAAGTTTTTCATTCTTTCTGCCAGTTTTATCATGAAATATGTACGCAGTATGATTGTTCTATTAAGTGTTTGCATACTGACAATGCTCGTATTTTTCTTCATCTACCTTTATTCCGTTTCTCAAATCTCATGGTATTTTACATCAGAGTTCTTGCGCTCACACTCCGCAACAAAATGGAGTTGCTGAACGTAAGAACTGTCATTTGTTGGATGTTGCTCGTTGTCTTCTTCTTCACACTCATATACCTAAATCATTCTGGAGCTATGCTCTACTTACAGCATGTCATCTTATTAATCGTCTTCCGTCCTCCGTGCTGAAAGGAGCTATTCCTTATGCTCTTCTTCATCCTGATCGTTCTTTATGGTCTGTTCGCCCTCGTATCTTTGGATGTGTCTATTTTGTTCATTCTTTGTCTCCTGGATTAGACAAATTATCACCTCGTGCTGAAAAATGTATATTCGTTGGTTACTCCCGTACTCAAAACGGATATGTTTGTTATAATCCTACTCGTCGTCGGGAGTATGTTTCTGCTGATGTGACTTTCTTTGAGGATAAAGCATTCTTTGGCGATGATCGTCCTCAAGCACCATTAACCTTGGACCTTCTGCCACCCTCTGCACCTACATCTCAGCCGGAGCCACCGTTTGTTACTTCTAATGCTGCTCCACCGGATCCAGGTTCACCAACACCGACCCCTCTTCAGGTCTATACACGTGGTTCTCGTTCTATTTGGGGTAATACATCTTCACCAGCAAGCGTTCCACCACCACCAACTTCGGTCCAGGCTTCCGATCCTCTTCCACCGTCTCCTGACAGTTCTCCTATTGCTCACCGTACTCGATCTCGGTATCCTCTTTCTAATTTTGTGTCTTATCATAACTTAAGCCCTCAGATGTCTGCCTTTGTGTCATCTCTTGCTTCTGTGTCTGTGCCTAGTAGTGTCCAGGAAGCTTTGGCCCATCCAGGGTGGGCTCGCGCTATGGAGGAGGAGATGGCTGCTTTACATCATAATAAGACTTGGGAGCTCGTTCCCTTACCGGCTCATAAACAATTGGTAGGTTGTCGCTGGGTCTTTGTTGTCAAACACCATCCAGATGGGTTTAGTTGAGCGCTTAAAGGCGCATCTTGTGGCAAAGGGCTATACTCAAACTTATGGTATTAACTATGATGAAACTTTTTCTCCGGTAGCCAAAATTCCTTCTGTTCGTATCATTATTTCCTTGGCTGCTCGGTCTCAGTGGACTCTTCATCAGCTTGATGTCAAAAATGCCTTCCTTCATGGTGATCTTCATGAGGAAGTATATATGGAACAACCACCTGGGTTTGTTGCTCAGGGGGAGAAGGTGTGCCGATTGCGAAAAGCTCTTTATGGGCTTAAGCAATCTCCTCGTGCTTGGTTTGGCCAGTTCAATGATGCGGTTATTACTTTTGGCATGCATCGGTGTAGTGTGGATCACTCAGTATTTAGTATGTCATCTTCAAAAGGATGTGTTTATGTTGATGATATCATTGTCACAGGCAGCGATGTTGAAGGCATACGATGACTCAAGCAGTTTCTTCAAAAGGAGTTTAACACTAAAGACCTAGGTCGTCTGCGATATTTTCTTGGCATTGAAGTTGTCTATGCCAATGGTAGCATTGCTCTCTCCCAGCGAAAGTATGCTCTTGACGTTCTTAAGGAGGTTGGCTTACATGATTCTAAGCCTGGTGACACACCTATGGATCCTGGAGTGAGGCTTGACAATGAAGAGAGAGAACTTCTTCATGATCCAAAGAAGTATCGTCGATTAGTAGGCAAGTTAAATTATCTTACCATTACCCGTCCGGATATTTCATTTGCTATTAGTGTGGTGAGTCACTTTATGAGCTCTCCTCGTACTAATCATTGGTAAGCTGCTCTACAAATTGTTCGATATTTGAAGAGAGCTCCAGGTAAAGGACTTGTGTTCCATAATCAAGGTCATCTTCGTATAGCTGGTTATTCCAACCCTGAATCTTTGGAGGTGACAGGATATTCTGATGCAGATTGGGCTGGTTGCCCTATGGATCGCCGGTCTACTTCGGGATACTGTGTATTTCTTGGTGGTAATCTTGTGTTGTGGAAAAGTAAGAAACAGTCCGTTATTTCCCGATCTAGTGCAGAGGCCGAGTATCGTGCTATGGCTAATGTTACCAGTGAACTTCAATGGGTTCGTATGTTGTTAGCTGAGATTGGACTACCTATGACCGGATCATCTATTCTGTGCTGTGATAATCAATCTACTATTCATATTGCTAGCAATCTAGTGTTTCATGAGAGAACGAAGCATATAGAGGTGGATTGTCATTTTGTTCGAGAAAAGGTGAACTGTGAAGACATACGGTTGGTACACACACGTTCTGAAGAGCAACTAGCAGACATTTTCACAAAGCCTCTTCAACGTGGACGAGTTTCATATATTTGTCATAAGTTATGACTTTTTTATATGTACACTCCAACTTGAGGGGGAGTGTTGGGTTTATTACTTTAGAGTATTAGCAAGTTGGGGGTATTTGTGTAAATGTATTAGGCTTAATCCTAAGCCTATAAATACTCTTTGTTATCTCTGAAATAAAGTTAAGTTACTCTTTTATCATTAACAAAGAGAATTGGCTTCTGATGCCGTTATACCTCCACAGCATTTGAAACCCTTTGATCCAGAATTCCCAATACTGCAAGAATAACAAGAAAAAAAGTTAGAAACATTCATAAATCAGGCAGATGCATCCCAGAATGCTTTTGACTCATAATCAGATTATGAATCGAAACATGACTGTAAATTTCAAGCTCTAAAAGTATTGAGTTTTCATGGTTTTTTTTTTGCCCTGAACTTTTTGCTTAGATGCATCCTTGGTACATCTCTTGCTTCTTCCCCCAGTACTTGAGCTTGTTCTCTCAAAACTAACAATTTGAACAGAAAAACAATGTCCGTAATCTAGATTAGCAACTTCATGTACTGCTCAAATCACAATGAAACAGATCCTGTTTCACTACGTTTTAACTTTTATTTCAACAAAGTCAGAGCAAAAAATTGATTAGTTCTGATCAAGCTTAGGAAACATGAAATGTTAGCTCATAACAATGTCAGACAGTTGAAATATCATACTGGAAACACAAGCCATACACCACAGTTTAGCAGGCACATGCTCTCATGTATGCAAGAAGAGACAATAGCAACTATTAAACAAGAAAAGAGATTTCTTTATCAAGTACATTGCCCATGGCATATCAGAAAGCATAAATTTTTCCTCAGAGTTAAAAATATCATACTTCTTTGAAGATACTATACATCTCGATTTAAACGTGCTAACATTAAAGACATCAAAGAATCTCACTGCAGTGAAAAAGGTCAGGAAGAAGAGATGAAGAAACAGGGGAGAGGGAAAAGGAAAAACAGAAACTAATGTTAGCTTAACTTGTGGCACTTCCCAGAACGGTAAACTTTTTAGGGCAAACAAAGAATACAGAAATGTCTAACAAGTCACCGAGAATTTAAGAAAAAGGAAACAAAGCAGGAAAAGAAAGAATAAATATAAACTTGACTTCTTAATGCTTCCAGATACACCATTTTCTTCCATTTAGACTGAGGAAAGGACAGAAAAGATGGAAAATTAGTTCCATAAACCTCCATTTATTTTCGTGGTTATGTGTTGCAATATCCGACGTGGCAACAACATACAGAATCACTACAAACCCACATCCATCAGTCATCAACATAAGGAATCATAAACCTTCAGTAAGCTTTAGTTGTCAATTGTCTTTTTTTTTTTTATAACCAAAGCTTTAGTTGTCAATTGTCATATGCCACAATTTCAAAGTAATGCTATGTAAATACAAAACCAGCAGCAAAAGTAAGTTCATAAACTGACCTAATGTGTGCCTCAGAGCTACTTGAATGCAACGACATTATTGAGCCACAGCCTCCAAATTTATCATTTGCACAGCCATAATATACTTCCTTTAAACCTAAAAAGGGAGAGAGTCATCTAATCATAAATAAACAAATTTTAGGAAAGTTCAGTTTTATTTCAGTAGGATCAACGGATGTACCAATGATCGATAATGCTGCTGCACACATTTTGCATGGTTCACATGTCACATAAAGGGTGCATGCTGAAAACTTCTCTGCAACTTCTGCAGCCGAAAATCCAGTCCTCTGCCACCGTACAAGAAGAACATCAAGAGCTTCCATCTCTGCATGTCTCGTTGCCCATGAAAGCCCAAAGGGAAAAATGAAGCAAGCATATCATACTTGGGAGCTTTGTCATGAGAAATATTTCTCCCTCAAGTTAACTGATTAAGAGTATATATAAGATTGATCAAGGCATATACTACATGAAGTCAAAAAGTTTTACTCACTTGAAGTTGCTGAGAATCTCACTAGGAAAAAGAGGCTTCTTATTGGAATAGCCACCTCCACCTTTTTTAACAGTATTTTTTTAATATACCCCTGTAGCAAGGTGCCTTTGTTTTTTTATTAATCTCCACAAGATACTAAAAGGGCCAAATATTTTTCACATCAACTATTCATTGCTATCCATAAAATCATTTATAGTAATGTATTGCCACCTGATGACTATAAATGATTACAGAAATAGACTATTAGATAAGAGATGATGCCTACCAGAAACCAGACTTAAACTAGTTGTGTAAATGGTCATTGTATGAAGAACTGTGCCCAAGTAGCAGGTTCTTACAACTTAAAAGGCAATACAATGGTCACAATGCATTTTTAGACTATTTAAGTATACCAAAAGTCTAGCTAAATACAGTCTAAGAGAACAATTTTAGGAACTTCACAAAAGCAGATAAAAATATGGTTCCAGACAGACCACAATGGTAAACGAAAAACGTAAAACATTGTGCATAATAACGCAAGATTATTGTTATTGTTAGCCGTAGCCATATTTTATGAAGAGCAATAGGAATAAAGCCCCTTACAGCCTAATAATGCATGGAAAATTCCACTTTTAAACAGATTTGATCAGATATATTATTTTATTATCTAATAAATACATATTAACGGAGAAACATGAAATGATCAACAATAAACTACGAGTGGATGATTCGAGGGTATTAATTCGGAACAATAACAAAGTGCAGTTGGCCAAAATTTATAGAAGGGGGTGGAGCAGCAATGATAAACATACATTCCATGTCTTGTTAGTCTGGTTTCTTTCTGCCGCAATACCGTTCCCATCCTCAATAATCACACAGCTGTTCAATCAAAGAGTCCAATCTGAAATCATTCACTAATAAGACTGAAATACTAATCATATTAATTAGAAAATGAAGTAACATATATGAAATGCACCTAGTTACAGACAATCAGTATCTTACCTAACTGGAACTTCAAGGCTGTCCAATGGAAGCTTTGCCTTATATAAGAAAAGCAAATAGATCTTGTTACTTGTTAGGAGAAAAATTATAAGAATAAGAGTCAGAAATTCTTTCATGCATGCATGCATGCATAAAGCCAAATTCAAGAGGAAATCAGCATCACGTTGCCAGCAGTAGTAATATTTCAATATCAATATACAGTTACTAACGGAACAAATGCATGTCCCATACTTATATGATCAAGATCTTGCAGGTCCTGTACAAGATACTGGTCACTAACTTCCAAGCAATGATTATCACCCCATACTCATCCAGTAATACAGATGCAAATCCTACCTAACGGTTAAACTGATATGGCTCTAACAACAGTACAGCTAAAACAAGAACAAAATTGAGAAACTACATGTTGTTGATTCTAGTGTGTCCTATCATGGGTACCTCAGAAGCTTTTCTTTCCATTAATGAGGTTTCACTCAAACATTCAAGAAGCTTCCTTGAGTTTTAGCTTCTGGGCCATTTTCCTTCACAAATATTATGGCACATGACGAGAAAGAGAGATCCATAAAACCGTTGTGAAGCCCTCAGAAATCATAATTGGCAATCAGCTTTTGTGATTTTGCCTCTATTCTACTCAATAACTTATGTAAACTCTGTTTTTCTCTTTTTCTTTTACATATACACAGGCCACAAGGCCCAAGAAAAAACCTAACCAGTTATCCGTGGGCACAACCGATGTTCATATTATGCTCACACTCCAAGTAAATTTCGTTTTCAATTCTCCCTAGGTGCCAAAGTCTACAAGTGGCAAAAGGACTTGACTGTCAAGCAACCTCTCCCTGTGGCTTGCCATCTAATTGCACCTTCTTCATTCCTCTATGGTTTTGCCTCTTCAAGCGCCTCATGAAACTTGGCGACAGAGTGCTATCTTAGTGATCAAAGTTTCTCATAATTCAATTGTCCTGGCAAACCTATCACCCACTGCACATCTTTATGATAGGCACATACTACACATCCACATTTCCTAGACACCTCAAAAGCACCCTGTGGCTTGCCGAATTGCACCTTCTTCATTCCTCTATGGTTTTGCCTCTTCAAGCGCCTCATGAAACTTGGCAACAGAGTCCTATCCCAGCGGTCAAAGTTTCTCATAATTCAATTGTCCGGGAAAACCTATCACCCACTGCACATCTTTATGATAGGCACATACTACACATCCACATTTCCTAGACACCTCAAAAGCACCTTGTGGCTTGCCGTCTCATTGCACCTTCTTCATCCCTCTATGGTTTTGCCTCTTCAAGCGCCTAATGAAACTCGGCGACAGAGTCCTATCCCAGTGGTCAAAGTTTCTCATAATTCAATTGTCCTGGCAAACCTATCACCCACTGCACATCTTTATGATAGGCACATACTACACATCCACATTTCCTAGACACCTCAAAAGCACCCTCTCTCTCTCTCTCTCTCTCTCTCTCTCTCTCTCTCTCTCTCTCTCTCTCTCTCTCTCTCTCTCTCTCTCTCCCAACCTACAGCACCCGGATTGGCTCAGTTTTTCATCTGAGAAAGGGGCTGAACCAACCCATGTACACCCTACTTCCCTTTGTTTCACTCTCCCTCATTTGTTTTCCCTTTGAACCTAGACTTCACCTACTTCTTTCAATAAATTGCCACCTACAGAAACGAAGAAATAAAAGCTATACCTTCTAGAAATTGTTGCTGATTTTGCAGCGTGTAGTGTCGATTACCAATGGATTCACTATGAAGCATCCACAGACAACACTTATGAAGAAACACTTATTCAATGTCTCTTGTACAAAAGTCAACTATACATTCTTCAAATTCCCGCGCAATTATAGCACCAAACGAATCGTTCACATTTCAGCCCAAGTATCACATCAACTTAATACAATTCGGCTGTGCCAGGCATTACCTGATCTATAGCAAGCTGCATAAAACCCAGAACCTCAGGAGAGAATTGTTCACCCGAATCTACGTTATCAGTTTCCATGGCTTTGGTTGTTGGTGGTAGTGCGTCGCCTCCCCTTGCCAGTCTCAGTCACCTTCAGTAGCTAGGCTGTTTTAGGAAGAAGAACTTCTTCTGTTTGTCACCTCCATCGGCAGGTGGCAATCTTCCACTCATCACAGCTCGCTGGTGTCGGATGAAAGATGAGCAGTCGTGGTATTGTAGGTGGTGTCGATGGTGAAATTTGCCTATGGTGAAGGAAAGGAAGGAGCTTATAATAGGAAATCAAAGAAAGAAGGTGGAGAGAAAGAATTAAAAACAAAGAAAAAGAATAAATAGAAGAAAAAATTACAGAAATTTATTTTAGGATATATAGTTAACCGGGTTAACGGGGATTTAGTGAAAAGAAAAAAAAGGTTAAAGGGGATGCATGTGTGCATAATTAGGTGGTCATGCATAGATGAAAATTGGTAATTATTTATGAAGTATGTGATTCTGAAAGACCAATTATATTTCTGCCATAATCAAAGGGTAGTTTGGAAAGACGAAACTTGATTTTGACTTAGGCTCTTTTTGTTTAAAGGAAAATAGTTTACTAGAAAACTTCTTTTTCCATTTTTCAAAGTGTTTGGTATGGGAAAATAAGTAGGTCAAAGAAAAATGACTTCAGTTGACCAGAAAATACCAAGCTTAAAAATAAGGAAAATAACTTCTTAATTTTATAGGTAGAAGTCATTTTCCAAAAAAGTATGTAGGACTATCCTTACCAAAGTGTTTTGATAGATGACCAGGTAAAACAAGGATTCTTTTGAGCACATGCCCTCGAGTGAGCACGCATGTTCACTAGGAGACCATAGAATTCTCTGGACAACACTAGCATAAACTGCTCAAATGGGAAAATTGTGGTTCAATGTGATTCAGCCTGATATAGAGTATAGTTGATGCACCAACCTAGCAGTATGTCGTCACACACCAATACAAAAATTGATCATGGACTCAGAGGTCCACAGCTTGACAAGCCCTCCCACAAATTGAGTTCAGACCAGGAATAAAGCAGGACACTGTGCAACACGAGTGTAGGTACAGAATCTGTAATTCTCTGCTCGTTCAAGGTCCTCTCCACATCATCTCTAATACACTGTCGTCATCTCTAGTATCCATTCACAAAAGATGATTATTCAGTGAGATATTCAACTCAATTTTCTGTGGGGAATTTTAACGAACACCTGGCGGGCCAATCATAGCAACCACTACAAATTAATATACCTCCAAATTCTAGCCATCTCCATAGAATCAATCCCATTACACAAATCTAAACACCCCCAAACATCATAAACTCAAAATCATCATATAAAAAGGGCCTAAGAAACTCGGACATGTGGTGGGTCACCGAGATCAGAATAACAAAGAAGAAGAAGAAGAAGAAAAACCACGAAGGGATTCGAGCCAAGGACGCACACCGCAGAGAGAGTCGCACTAAGAAAGGGAGACGGAAGAGGAGGACACACACCTTCAACAATTTTTGAGGTAAATACACTCTACAATTTCTTTTTTCTTGGATTAATATACCAGCAAAAATTTTAAACTATGCCTACCATAATACCGACTTTTCCCCGCGTTACTAATAATCCTTAAATTATAAACTGTGGCTAGCTGAGGTTCCGACCTCTCAGATTCGAGGTTGCGAGACCTCGGGACTCGAGGCGGAAACCTCAAGGGGAGGTCGCGGAGGTTTGGGGATAGGGAGAGAGATGGTCGCAAGCCCCTGTGCGGCGGACGACAACAACGGCACGGCGATGGCCTCGTAGCATTAACAGGCGGGAGCGATGGGGCGTTGTACGGTTTGGACGACGGCTGAGCATGGAAGAGGATGGAAGGGAAAAAAATAAATAATAAGAACCGTTTTAAGATTACAAAAAATTTATCCATTTTAAATTGAGTTGGCACTCCTATATATAGCAATGTGCATCATTCTTTTATGAGTAAACAAGTCACCATGTTGAGCTATATTTTGATAGTTCAGATACTCAATTGGAAAAGAAAAAGTCGCGGTACTTGTACGTAATAAAACGGACGGAAATTTATTGTAGTGTGATTACCCTTAAAAAAAATCTGATAATAATGAAATTTTTATGTTCTTCCAAATTGATTTTATATTTACTTTCCAATTTCAACTAGTTCCTATTGATTTATCGATGATTGTAATACATATTCCATGAAACAAAAAGCAAGTTGAAAACAATGACGAGTGGGAAGACTACTGTTCTTGTGCTCCCAGGGTAACAAAGGTCCGTGTTCTCTCTTCCAAGCCAGTTACTCCTAGCGCTGCAAGCAACAACAAAAACATCAACCTCTCGCTCCCATAGTGAGTCATTCCTTCACCTGCAGCTTCCCCAACCGGAAGTGGTTGTTCACGTCAGGTAAGAGAACTCTCATGGGAGATATTCGGAGAAACTCTCAAGCAGCACTTGCCTATGCCTCTGTCACAGAGGTTGACTGCCACTGCGATTTGGGCCTATAGGTAATTCCATAGGGTATATACGCAAAAATGAAGTCAAGAGAGATAATAGAAGAAAATAAACAGTGTAAAACATATATCAAAGA